ACACAGAGACACCGAAAGACGGAAACCTCTCTCTCTCTCTCTCTCTCTCTCTCTCTCTCTCTCTCTCTCTCTCTCTCTCTGTGTGTGTGTGTGTGTGTGTGTGTGTGTGTGCCTGAACGAGAGACAGAGACAGAAAAGCCAGTGTCCCTCTCGCTCTCTCTCCCCTCGCTGAGTTGACCTCCTTCCTCTCCCCAGATGGGTTTTTTTCTCACGGCGTATCAAAAGCTATGCCGCAGATAGCGCCGCGAGGGAGGAGCGAGTGACAGCAGCAGCCCCTACCGCCTTACCGGCTCTCCTGATGTAGGGGGCAGGAGGAGAAAGGGAGAGGAGGACACCGAACACAGAGGCCGAACGTGCCGTTGTTGCCCCTAACACGCTACCGGCTCTTCCGGTTGTCGTTAAGCGCTGAACAGTGAACAACCCAACCGTAATGGAATGGAATGGAAGACGAAGAGGAAGAGAACGACGCGCTCTCCTCGAGGAAGACGACGAGCTCTCCTTCACTCTCTCATCCAGAATGAGAGTCAGTAAACACACAGAAATTGACAGAATAGTCGAAGGAGCATGGACGATGGGAGTGAGGAGGGGGAGGAGGTGGTTGAGCCTGAAGCGCAGAATAGACCGCCGAGAAGTCCGTCGTCAGCGAACGGCTCGCGGCGAATTCCTTTTCCATCCTTTCCGTTCCAATTCCATTGCATTCCCTCTCTCTTTTTTCTTTTTTTTTTTTTCTTTTTTTACTTCTTTTTTTCCCTTCTTTTCTTCGGGGTGCGGCCGTGGGATGGGGGGCACATTCCCTTCTATTCCTAATCCTAAACACTCATTTCTTTTTTTCTTTTTTTTTTTTGGGCTCATTTCTTCTTGCTTCTTCCTTCATTGTTGGGTAATTTTTGCAAACGGCGGGCTCTGTTTGTAACTTTTTTTTTTTTTTTTTTTTTTTTTTTGTAACAGTTAATTTCAGCCAGATTGGGTGAGTTAACCCCAGAGAGGGATAAATTGAGCCCCCGACGGGGTGAGTTAAACCCCCATTCCAACCCATCAACCTTAAACCCCCAAAAATAAACAAGCAAAAAGACGAAAGGAATCCGGCTCATTCCACTGGGCTCGCTCCGCTACACCGCCTCGGTCAGCTCGATAAGATTCAAAAATAAACAAACTAAATAGCATTTAAATGTATCTGGACCCTTTCGCCGGTAATTGTTAGTTCGAATGTATCTTGCGCTGGACGCTGTCCAGGCACATTTGAAAAATATCCAGATACATTCGAATTGACTTGTGTGTGTAGATAACCTGAGGCTCGGCATCCCATATTCCATTTTTGGCCCTCGCCCGCAACGTCAACGAGGTATCTTGGGCCCTAGTTGCAGTACTCGCCAAGATTTCGAATGCACCTGGACAGAATGATGTCCACATGCAATCAGAATGTTAGTGGATGGCGAGTAGTGCGACGAGGTATCTTGCCCTAGAACTGTGGGACATGGGGGCCTCGCTCAACTACTTTCTACATCCACAAAAGACAAAAACAAAAAATATGGCGGTGTATTTTTCCATGTCCCGAGGGAAGATTCATTGTCATTGTGCACGTTTGGTGAGTATAGCGGGGCGAGGCTCATGCAGTCGTTGTAGGTTTTGTCGTTTTCAGATTTGGTGAGGAGTGCGGCGAGGCCGCATAGTTGGGGGAGGGCGTTTTTTTTCTTTTCCTTTTTTTCTTTTTTATTTTTTTCTGGCTTGTTTCGCGATGGCGTCGCTTGGATCAGATACTGAATTTTCTTTTTCGTTTGCTTTGCGTTTTGCGTTTTGCTTTTTTTTTCTGAGATCTGATACTGCTCGTAAAACGGGCAGAAAAAAATCTTAAATCTTAAGAAAAGCCAAAACCAACAGAAAGAAGAGAGGAAAACGTAAAGTCGAGCCAAAATAGGCGAAGAGCGTACAAGCCCTGTTATTCCGCGAGGACGCGGCAAGCCGCACGACTCGCCAAATGTGAGAACGACAAACGGTATGGCGGATGCATCTTTCCATGATCTAGCGGAACATGCATCGTCCATTTGGCACGTTTGGTCAGTAGTGGGGAGACGTCCCAGTTCCAGCGCCCTGCCCGGCGCCTGCGCTGCGGGTGGGCGCTGACGCTCTCCGGCTATTCCGCTACCCTTCCGCACCGCCAGCGGCTGCTCGTCCACGAGCGAAGACGGAGAGGGGCGGGGGGGCCGGATTGCAGAGGGGGGTCCTCTGCCTCTGACTCCAAGGGGTATTAATCCACTGCCTGTAGGAGTGAGTGCCTGTAGCGGCAAGGCCCTAACGGTAGAGGTGAGGCCCCGGCAGTATGGCCCTACCGCAATAAGGGTAAGGACCTTCCAGTAAGGGTAAGGCCCTAAGGGTAAGGGTAAGGGTAAGGGCCTTCCGGTAAGCATAAGGGTAAGGGGAAGGGTAAGGGTAAGGCCCTACCAAGAAGGAGCCTTACCCTACCTCTGGGCGCGTTGCTCTCCTTACTGGTACGGCCAGCGACCTTGCCCTCCGACTGGCCATAATTGAAACCAGGGTCATGCTCTCAAACTTTCGAGCGCAAAAATAGCACCAGGCAGAGGGGTTTGTAGCTCACCGGATCAGTTATGGTACCCAGGACCCAGTCAATTGTCCGGCAGCACCAAGTAACACCTGGTAATGCTACACCACTGTGCTGAAGTGCGTTGTGCGGGAGGCAGCTCCACGTCCACCTCGCATTCATGGAAATAATTTTCCTTTTGTGGAAGCTGCCATGATTGTCATTTGTGGATGACCTTTCGTCTCTTTGTTGCTGCAATGGGAAATGGCGATGATGATTATAAAAACAGAGATCATGTCCGAGAGTGCAACATCGTGACGCGGTAAGTATTTGGGTGCTATACACTGGAGAGCTACCATTCATATCTTCAAGGATATCATGCCAACAACGAGGTGGATATTGTACCAACAATGAGGTGAATACATAGCCGCATCAGTAAGGATTTTTATGACAGTGTTTTCCTTTTGCCTGATGGTGGTATCACAATCTGTGTAGCGGTTTAACTTAGAGTTATCATTGATAGTTATCGTTGATGCACGTTATCATGCAACCATTCAAAGTTTCATTCTGACAGCCAATGACATGTAGTAACCACTAATAAACTCAAGAGTCATCTTCACTTTACCAACCCAATGTTCAAGGCGATAGGACCTCATATTCTACTGCCTTCCTTGAGGCTTATCAATATACGCATAAGGAACAAAGTTTTTGAACATGGTCTTTAAACCACTAGTATGTTTCTCATACAGTCGCAATGTTCCCACGTTAGCACACAGCGGGCTACTATATCCCAATGTGCACAACTGCATTTTTAGGAAGGGTAATTTCGTACTACCTTGTCGTTGGTTAAGAAAAAAGTTATCATGCATTCCCTTTAAACCATGTTTCATAGCTAGTAGAAAAAAGTTGAAGTGTTTCCATATAAATCAATTTATCCATCCAGCAGGTCGGTACATCCCAAATTATGTAAGGCTACATTTATTAAAAAAAAACGTTGTTATAGTATTAAAGTGTTCATAGCAATGGTACGGGAACATTATTGTCACTCTCGTACACTTAAAATTCCACACTTAATACACTCGCAATAGCTTGTTTGGATATGGCTCACACCCTTTACATTACGAAATGGATGTTGGACGACGTTCTTGCTAAAAACCTTCTTACCCATTTCGCTAAACCACGGAAGCAGGATGTTATGGATAGTGGGTAAAAGTACTTTGATAGCATTTGTATTACTCTATGCTTGAGATGTTACCCTTCTGATTCTCTAATATTTTTAAAATATTTACTAAGGTAACCTACCCTTACGCAACACCTTATGGAAAATGCTATATTATTACCAATATACTTATTTTTTAAGTATACTATTTTCATTACATTGTCAACCAACAAATTATCAAAGATTTTATTTTCATTATTTTTTGATGCTTTATTACGTGACTTTTTTTTTCACAATGCCATTCACTAAGTCGTGCACCACTGCATTCACGTAAAGTTTCA